ATAAGTTTTATTAAATGACCTGAGTTACGTTTTCTGCAAAAAATTCTGATTCAATTGTTTTTTTTTCTGGCACAGCACAGATTTATCTTGCCCAATGATAGATACTGTATATCTATAAATAATCTTTATTTGCTAATTTTCACATATCCAATTAAACAAATATCAGCATGGAAGAATTGAAAAAAATGTATGAGTTTTAGCAGAAAATACATACCAGAACATGAAAATGCAAGATTGGTTTTGGTACACATGCTTAGACTTTCTTCCCTTATTTCCAAATGAAAAATAATTAACCATCAGTAATGAGAATCACAGGACTGGGCAATTACTGATCACAAATTAGAGCACAAATTTGCCTGATGAAAATAATTAATTCCTGTGCATTGTACATAGAGAAATGTTGTACATAGCCTAACTTTTCACTAATGCTCCTAAACATTGCATGGTGAGGAGATCTAGAACAAAGGTAAGTGTTTTCACTGTACACATGAAGGAATTGTTACATGACACAAGTGAACTCATGATGGTAAACGGGATGGAGTTCATTCTGGAATGAAAAGTTGAGTGTTAAAGCTTTTTTTTACGGTAGGAACCTCTTCGGGAATATCAAAGTAGTTACGAAATTCATATTTTGAATATTACCTGGTGCTTGCAGCTAAATACAGGCCCATTTGAGAGTTGAAGTCAAGCTTGGTGTTTTTTTGCCCTGTGCAACCAAACATTTTTTTAAAGAAGAGAACTCTAATAACAATTTTAAAATGAGGAAAGAAGTTGAAACATGAAAAAACTTGCTTGACATTTTGTGTTCCATTTTTTTTTATATGTACTTGCAATAATGCAGTTTAATTGCAATGTTGCCCATGACAATATGCAAAGGTGTTGTGCAGTAGAAAAATAATTTTGTATAATATAATTATTTTCCAACTGCAGAAAATCAAGATGAAAATTATATACAGGAAGTGTGCATGTTGGAATGAATGCTGCAAAAATGGGGACACTGACACTATACAGCTCACACTGGAAGAGAATCTTCTCCATCTCTGTCATTATACACATCCATCTCATCTGAGTACCTCATTGACCTGACTTTGGGTACCCATCCAAAACTGCATATTGTTGGACGAGTCTTTGACCTCCCAATTATTGTTGTTGCTAGTTTGAGTGCAGCACCCATTAATCTTTTCCCCTTTATTTTCTGCAGAAGCCTGCCAAAAGGAGGAAACCAAATTGAATCCCCTTGATGGAATATTCCAACCTCCTTGGTTTCCAGGCCTCTTTTCCTCTTCAAAGCCAGTTATTGGTGTGTTCTGTTTGGAGAAAAGATGGATCCTGTTTTAATTCCCAGGTATTGTGGATTGCATGGTTGCTAATGTATATTGCTGTCTATTCATTTTTATGCATTTCCGAGAACAACTCTCACTCTTTGAACCTATTGAACTGTTGAAAGCTCACTGAAACTTGTGAATTCACTTGGTTAAACAATTTACCATCAAATTTATTCCCTCCCTTTGTCTACCAGAAAGTTGCCTGCTGTCTGTCTTCCCAAAAAAAGCACATTAACTGATGTCCCTGGTCCTCCAGTCTGAAGTCTACATTGACCTGACAACTTTCAACATCTTCAGGTGCTTCAGCTGAACTAGCTGAGAGCACTTCTGAGTTCCAGACCTTTCTGATATCTTGAAAGCTCAAGATTTTTTTCTGACCCGTTGAGGTAGTGTTGCAACTAGCAAGGTTAGTTGGGATCCCCCCCCCCCTTGTTTTTGGGCCATCCCCATGCTCTTGTTTGGAGGACCAGGTCAAATTTACAAAATGCCTGTTTGTTTCTAAGCTTTATTCAGGTCAGCTTTGCAGTTTTGAAGAATTATTCATTTGCACATTTCTGAGCTGCTCTGAATTGTTTTAGATGACTTTGATTTTATTTGAAGTCCTATATCCACTGCAAATTCCCAGTTCTTCAGATGCAAATGGAAAGACAATGTTGGCTGATTTGATTGGTGGAATTGAGGTATGTATAAGAAAAGAAAGATGGTTGTGCACCTCAGAAAAGCTCCTTTTTGTGAAAATCCTGTGCCTTTTGTCTTATAATACTGGTGAAGTAATAAAATGTTAGGCTGTCTTGTCTCACCACAATTATTCTTTATACAACTCCCTTTCCAACACAAGATTCTTTCAGCAACAAGTACAGTAATTGCATTAAATCTTGAAACAATTCTTGGCTCTGAATGCAAAAAAATCAAAACAATTTGTCAAAACAACTCAACAAAAGCACACACAAATTAGGATACACATATTCCTCACACAATGCAAAATTTTCAAATGAAATACTGAAAAGATGTAGCCTGTGCTTCCTGCCCAAGCTAAATTGTGTTTCAAACCAGGGTTGAGTGAATAAGATGCACCATGCAAGGTCCATTTAGCTAATTTCCATCTTTGATCTTCCAAATTGAAAAAGGTTCCTGTTCTTAAATGGCTGAAAAAGGTCTAGCTAAATCGTGTTTCAAACCAGGGTTGAGTGAATAAGATGCACCATGCAAGGTCCATTTAGCTAATTTCCATCTTTGATCTTCCAAATTGAAAAAGGTTCCTGTTCTTAAATGGCTGAAAAAGGTCTGGGAGATTTGAACTATTTTACACTCTAACACCACATGGGGCCAGGGGCCCCTTTTTTTCACTTGCTGTGTGAACAAATTGAATTGAGCAGGAAGCTTTTTTTCATCTTTTCAGTGTTCAAAAGGTTCACACAACATTCCCACATCTAAAACCCACTCCCAACCCAAATCCTTTCAATGGCACTCAATCACTTGAAAATGAAAAAAAAGACTAGCAAGTTGCATGTAGATACCAAAAGAAAAGAAAGTACATTTCCCACAATGTATACATCCTCACAACTGGTGTGAATGCCTACACCCCCTTCCTTCACTGATGACAGACAAAATATCAGTAATGAGAATTGCGACCCAATTGCCTATCCCAATTCAAAGTACAAGGTCTTCAGCCTGTTCCCAGACAAAGTTTAGTTGAATAAATAATTTGGAGTGAATCTTTGATGAGAAATCATGTAAGGCCAACAATTTGTCTTGGTCTTCTAGGATTTTAGAAGGGATCTTTTCATTCAATTTCAATATTCCCAATTATTTTTCAAGCTTGTTTCTGTAAATGTGGAACAATGGGTGTAAGAAAAGAAGGTGCTATGGTGATGCAATAACCAGTGTATTTATACTGCATTAATTGCACCAAATAGACACCTTTGAAAATTTAATGATTTTTTTATTAAAGTGCCATGCATTTGTTAAAATAGCTATGGTATCATATACCAAGGGGATGTTAGATGATACATTTAGTAATGGTTTAGTTTTGCCACAAGCAAGATCAGCTATTAATTTACTTGATTCAACAACATCATAGTCAGCTTTTGTCCCACCCACTGATAAAAATTGCATAATCAAATTTTGAAGTTTTGGACAACTTTTCAATTGATCCACTTCAAGCTTCCAAGTTTCAACATTTCCTCCCAAAATTTACAGCATCTTCACTCCAGAAAATCCATCCCCTTACTCGTGCTGGCTCAGCACCAGAAGAAAACTCAGAAAAGGGTCAAGATTAAAGGCTTTGGTGGCCAATGTCCACTGCATTCCAGCCCATACTCAAGAATAGCCTTTGAAAATAATTTTGCAGCAGTCCCAGGATTCTGCAAAGTTACCCAAAATCTCTGCACTTTCCCTAGCAATTTTGCGGCCCTTCATGTGTGAAAT